GGGAGCAAATTAACTACCTGTAGAATCACTAAATGATGGACCTTAACGTTTCGCACACATACACAAAAAAGCCAAAGTGTCCTGAAAAAGTGAATACGCTTGCTCAGCATCAGGTCATTCAACCAAAGAGTACTACAGATACAAGATAAAATGGGCTTTAGGAGCAATTCTGTCAAACCACTTCATTTTATGAAAGGACCAGAACAAAAGGCTAAGAAATAAAGTGACTTGACTTTAATTATAAGTTGGTCAATGTAATTAATGATTGATTGATTTGAGTGGTAAAGGGACAAACTTCCTGCATGCCCATAAGGGTAGCCATGCCAGATGTGAATAATTAGAGGGGTGTGTGTGTGTGTGTGTGTGTGTGTGTGTGTACAGTGTGTATTTATGTGTGAGAAAGGGAGGCAAGTGGAAGATAAGTAAGGATAGAGATATACAATCTTTTTGCTACCAAGGATATCCCTTTATTATTTTTCCACAGCATGAAGAATTTTACTTTTAAAACAAAACTGAACATTTTAAATAATAACTCATTCATAGGGCCAGGGATATAGATCAGCAGCATAAGCGCCTTTGTGGCAAGCATAAGTCCTGAATTCAAACCCTGGTATGGGGGGGGACGACAAAACAATTCATTTCTCCATTTTTATGAATCAAAAAGAAATAATTTAATGTGTAATGTAACTATGTTCTGGAAAATTTCCTTTACACCCAATGAGAGCTTCCAACCAGCATGAGACAACCAACATAAATAAACTGAGATGATCAAATTCCAGGGGAAGAAAACACTTCCCTGTCCAACCTTAGTATAACTGTAAAGATCTGTTGCCCCAAGAGTTCAAGGTTCACTGGCCAAGGTGGCACAGCCCATGGGAAACATCCAGGAGGACAAAAGGTCATCCATGGGAAAGATCAGACCTCCTGTAAAGGTCCTGCTGAGGCTCAAGAAAGAAGTCTGGAAAAGAGGGTGGCACTGCCCCTCCCATGGGACATTTCCCAGCAAAACTCGCCTCCCACCTTTGAACATCTGTCACAAGGAGGCTTAGGCGTGAGAAGTCTGGATCTCATCAGCTTAGGAACTCTCTAATCTTTCGGTCTCAAGATCCTTTATACTCTTAATGACCTTAGAAGATGCTCCAAAGCTTGTGCTCATACAGTTGTTATAATCCACGCTCATCATGAAAAAAATTAAAGCTGAAAAGCATTTGAACGTTTCTGTTATGGTGTGAGCCTAGATGTCCCTCCAAAGTTTCATGCCGCACAGGTGGGGCACTCTCAGAGATGGCTGAATCTACAGTGTGGGAATGCGGGGACTAAGGATGTGTGATTACTGAATTGGCTTGCTATCACCCTAATCCTAAAAAGCCTGGATACAACATAACGAGCAGAAAGAAGCTTGTCTTCTTCCTTGCTTGCTTGCTTTTGCGGTCTTCGGCTTGCCACGGGCAGATTCTCTTCTGCAATCCCTTCTGCCAAGCTCCCCAGCCTTCCAGCCAGCCAATTATAACTAAAATGTACACAAACTGTGGGCAAAACAAACTCTTCCTCCCTTAACTCTTCCTCCCTTCTCGTCTCAGCAACAAGAAGAGTAACTAAAACAATTTCTAACGCTTAAATAATGAACCCATTCCATATTAACATAAACAACACTATTTTTAGGGGCTGGGGAGATGGCTCAGTGGAATAAGTGCTTCCCTGGCAAGCGCAAGGGCCTGAGTTCAATCCCCGGTTCAGAGAAAAAACAAAAAAAAACAAAAAAACACTATTTTTAATGCAAATAGACCAAACCAAAAATACTCAAGGAGTATTTCACATTTTGGCAAATGGATCTGATATCTGGCCTAATGAAGGGCTGGATTCTCATCTCTGGCTCTATGTTTGATCTGTGGTGATAGCTATCATGTATATAGCATGTCGCCTCTGCTGAACTACCCTGCAGTCACTGCAGCATAAAAAGCAAATAACATCTCACTACTATTACTGGAAGAGTCTGGATCCTGGAACTCCCTCACAAGTCTACAAGGGCAGCCAGGTGCGCCTGCACACACTGTGGGAACTGCCATTTTTGAGTGTCATTTTTCTAGGACTCCTGAGTCACCTCCTGGTGTCTTCTTACTTCCTCTTTCCCCCTGGAAACAGGTTTCCACTTCCTCTCCCATCTGACTGCTTGCCTGCAGGCCTCAGGGCATCTTCATCCCCTTTCCTGTGTTTCGCGTATAACAAACAACACTACTAGCCTGCAGACTGGGCTATCTTTTCCCCACCACCTATCTTGTCTGCCTCCTTCACATCCCACTGAGCCCTGGCAGAAATCCCATTGGTCCATCTCAGATCACCTCTCAGATCCTCCCTCTTTGGCCTCATCCCACCACATGTGGGTGAACCAGCAGCTAGGGCCCTGGTTTCCCCACAAGATTCCTCTTGTCTGTTTGTCAAGGCCATCATGCAAACCACCGTCACATGTGCCCTCCTAAAAACAGGCACACCTGGTGACCAAATCTCGTGACCCACCTATCACAGACCTCCTAGCCACATTTGGTTTCATGATCCTCCACGTCATGTGGCCTTCACCTTCTCCTTCTCTGCAGCCCTGCCTGTTGCCACCTCATGGGGCAGTGGCGGCCCTCCTCCCCACTGACTGCTACGTGAAGTGTGGATGTTAACAAAATAACCCAGATAGAAGCTGAAGAGGGCACATGTAGGTCTGAGTGTGCTGACATCTCCCACATGGAGGGCAAGCCCAAGCTGACTGGCAGAGCAGCACTATCCAGAACTCTCAGCACCAATGGAAATGCTCCATCACAGCACTGCCCCAGAGTAACTACTGGTCACCCCAGCGTACTAGGCACTAGAAATGACTAGTGTGACAAAAAGGCTGAGGCTGGTCATTCATGTAGAAGTGCCTCCCTGTTAGAAAAAGAGGCTGTGAAAGATGAGAACCAATTACCTGGCAGGGCCACCCAGGGGATGGGTCACCCCTCTGCCAGAGGTGATTCCAGGGGGTTGACTTGGATAAGAGGAAATTTCACTTGTAAATAACTATAAACTGACATTTAGCATCTCCTTCCATATGAATGTAGGCAACAAAATACCGTATTAACAATAGTATGACCAGCCTGAGTAACAGCCAGACTGTCCCCTAAAAAAGCCTGGGGATGTAGCTCAGTAGAAGAGTGTTTGCTCATTTAGCATGGGTTCAAGGCCCAGATCCATTTAAAAAAACAAAAATAAAAAGTCAGCATGTATACTATTCCACATAACGTGTTTTCTGTATTCCGACATATTTGGTAATCTTGTGGACTTAGTTTTATGCATTTGAAAATGCTATACTTAGCGCGGCTGAGCTGACACAAACCTATCATCCCGGCACTCTGGGAGGCTGAAGCAGGAAGATAACAAAGTCTATCCCATCTTGGGTAACTTAGCCAGCCTCAAAGAATTTTAAAAAGAAAGGCTGAAAATGTAGTTCATCGGAGATTTAATAACCAGTACCAAATAAATAAATAAATAAATAGTAAGGGGGCCGGGGAGATGGCTCAGTAAATAAGTGCTTCCCAGCAAGCGCAAGGGCCTGCGCAAGGGCCTGAGTTCAATCCCCGGTTCCGCCAAAAAATAAAAATTAAAAAAAAAAAAAAAAGTAAAAGAAAATTAAGCTTCCGTAAAGGCAGGAGAGCTCTTTGTGCGCTGCGACCTAAGACTCACTCCTTTAGGTCAAGCGGATCAGCGCCACGCGGTGTCCAGGCGCTGTCCTCTCACCCGCAGGACGCGGCCTGGCCGCTGTTGGTGCAGCCCCCGCTCCGCTGGAATGCACACTGCTTCACATGAAAACCACATGGCGTGCGGCTGGGGGAGGCACAGGCACAAAAGGGCTCGCAGAAATTGACAGTGCCCCCAGCCCGGGCCAGCACTGCGGAGGCTCTAGAGAGCTAAGGGTCACCTGCGCCTACTCTTTTATTTGGACTGCCCCCCCCCCGGGGGGGGTTGACAAAAATCGGCCACAGGAAATTAGATCACTCAGGCGCCCTCCTTTCCCAGCTCTGACCTCTGGACTCTGAACCGAGCCCACGAAGAGGATTCGAATCCCTGACTGCCAACACACATCCGGATAGTGGCTTCAATTCCCCAGTTGGAGAGCCGGGTTTGGCCGTCTTTTACTCCCGGACCAACGACCAGGTCCAGGCCCGCGCGCCTTTGCGACCCAACTCTGGCCACTGCCCTGCGCACGCAGCCGGCTCCATCCGGGAGGGTCTTGAGCTCGGCTTTGAATACCCAGGCGCACAGGCCCAGGGTGTGATCCCAGCTATTCAGGTGGTTGAGGCAGGTAGATTGCAAGTTCAGAGTTAGCTGGTACAACTTTAACAGGGTTCTATCTCACGATAAAAAATAGACTTGGCTGGGCGTGGTGACGCCAACCTCCAATCTCAGCAATTAGGAGGCTGAGGCTGGAGGATCGCCGTGAGTTCGAGGTCAGCCTGGGATACATAGAGGTAAAGGCCAGCACGAACTACATGGTGAGACATTCAAAACAAAAATAAAAACAACAAATAAAGAGCTGAGGGTGTAGCACAGTGGTAGAACGCCCCTAAGGTTCATCCCCAGTACCAAAGTAGTGGTGTGGGAGTAAAAATATTTTCAATTAAAGTATATACAAGATATTGTCATTTCCTTATTAAGTTCAAAACTTCACTCTCCAAAAAAAAAAAACAAAAAACAAAAAACAGGCGCAGGACAAAGCCCAGACGCAGACAGACCTCTCGAGGGCGACGCAGCCCACGGCCGCAGGAGGAAGCTCCGCCCCGAGTCCAGGGACCTTGGGGTGACCACAGGCTCCAGCCGAGACAAACCCGATGCCGTCCCAGGCTCGCGGGCGCTCGGGTGACAGCGACTAGTGGCGCGGTAGGGAGATCCCGGGTGCGCAGAGCCAGCGTGAGCCCCGCGCCCCCGCCCGCGCCGGCCTGGCCAAGCGCTTGCCGCCCCCTCCGGACCCGGCCACTCACGTAGACTGAGTCGATGCCAGAACGGTCGTAGAAGTGGAGCCCCTCGCTGAGCTCCAGGGCCGGCGACACGATGTCGTCCCCATCCTCCAGCTCCAGGTCCCCCTGCAAGGGGCCATAGGGAAAGAGGTCCTGGTGGCTCAGGCAGCCCCCGGGCCCCGTGAGCAGGAGCGGCAGCAGCAGCGCCCGCACCCAAGCAGCCGCGCTCCGGCCGCCAACGTCCTGCATGATCCAAACCGCGGCCCCGCAACGCGACGGCCTGGCGGAGCGGCGGAATAAAGCCGAGCGCGGACCCCACGCCCCCGCCCCCGGCGGCCCCTCCTCCCTCCCGCCCCAGAGTTCCCACCCCGGGAAACAGGGGAGGGGAGCGGAGGAGATGGGGAGTCCCCGCCCCGGACACCCCGCGCGCGCCTGACGCGGCCCAATGGCCGCCGGGGAAGGCAAGGGTGGGCACAGGTCCCCAGCCGTAGGGGGCCGTGTCCCGGGCCCCCACTCGGAACCAGCCGGCGTGGGCTCGCCTCGAACTCTGGGCCCGCTCCGCTCCGCGAGCGAAGCGCTGACTTCTGCGCGCAGACGGCGGCCTGGCAGAGGCGTGAAGGTTGTGGGTTTAGGAGCCACCGCAGTACCGCTCGGGCTGTCCCTGGCGGGAGGCCTGGGCTGCTGCTGCGACTTAGCGAGGAAGGACTGGCCAGAAGCACCACCATAAACCTACGTCCATGCAGCCAACATTTGAGTGCTTAGCCCAGCATCTGGGGGTTCCGCGTAGGGTCCCACAACCACTGCAGACGCAGTCACAAAGAGTATAATACAATTCAGTGTAAGGGTGGGCCGGGGCCCCAAGTGATAAAAGACAGTGGGGTTGGAATAACTATCCAGGAGAAGCTTCGTGTGGGATGGTGGAATCAAACCAGGTTTCCGGAAAGAAATGAAATTTAAACAAGAGCGTGAGGAAGGTAGTTTTGGGGGACGTCGGGAGTGAAAGGGGTAGTTTTTCAAGAGACATCACTCCCCAACCCCCATCCCAGAGACTACCGGGAAGGGTGGTTCAAGGTAAAACCTTACATAACAAATCTAGGAATTTGAACCCTTCCTGTGCTAGCACTTAGAAAAGAAGTATTCAAAGTTTTTGACGAAGACAAATTTTTTTTAAAAAGTGATATTTACCTAAATAAATGTTGGTCATTAATTTGGCTCTGAATTTAGAGACCGGTAGGTCATCCTAGTGCTGTAGAAAGTAGAGGGGACAAGGGGTGAGAAAGTAAGAGGTGGAAATCCTGGGGAAGTGAACATACAAATACCAAGATAAAAAAGACACCAGCCCCAAAGATGAATTTTACAGTGAGGGAGAGGAGAACGGAAGATATGCTGGAAGCCCAGCGCATCTGAAAACCGGTACTGCTTTCAGACCAGGAAAGAGGGCCTTGGTGTGGGATTTGTTTTTGATGTCAGGCCTGGTAACACCATGGGGTCAACAGGACATCCTTGCTTCCTGCTAGCAGCTAAAATTAAGGCCCTAGCATCTACTTTGAAAGCATTTTGTGCAGTAAACAGCAACTTGTAGAGGGTGTGAAGCCCAAATCAGCAAAAAACAAAATATTTTCTGAGCATAAAGTTCTTTTTTTGTTTGTTGTTTGAGCATAAAGTTCTTGATTCACTCGTGATACTTTTCTTATTTCTTTCTTTATTTTATTGATACTAGGGAATGAACTGGAGGTAGGATAGAGGAAAGAAAGACCAGTAAATAGGCAGGTATGGTGATGCAAGCTTATAATCACAGCACTTGAGAAGCTGGAGTAGCCTGGAGCCTGAGGCCAGCCCAGGCTACATAAGGAGACCCTGTCGAGAGAGAGAGAGAGAGAGAGAGAGAGAGAGAGAGAGAGAGAGAGAGA